TAGCCCTCTATCGATTTTTATCGACAAACCATAGATAGATTACCTATTGGAACACGGAGACACGTAGCTCCCCAGAAATTGCCAAAGCACTAAGATAGGTGCGCGAAAAAAAAAGGAGAGTATCTCTAGCGCATACTAAATGTCGTTGTTCTAGTCTACTGAAATAGGCTCTACCTCTAGCACATACTAAAGGTCGCCATTCTAGTCTACTGAAATAGGTTCTACCTCTAGCACATACTAAAGGTCGTCATTCTAGTCTACCGAAATGGTTCTAAGATAGAAGAGCTAGCTTAACTTCTACAAACAGATGCATCTCCGCTGAATTCTTTCTTCTGAGCAAGCATTCTATATGGGTAGAGACAAGTCAGGCTCGATCAAAGAAAATACTTGTTTTAAGTCGATGAATGATCCTTGGAAGCTTCGTCAAATTGCACTTAGATAAATAGTAACATTGAAATTAAGTACGAAAAATGTTACCTTCTAGAGTGCAAGACCATCCTTGGATGGATAATTACAAATAGGTTTAATTAATGAGAAACTAAATGTTCTAGAGCGCAAAGATAGGATTTTAAAAGCCGTCACGAGGTATTTTTATGTGGAACGCTTATTGAAACTGGTTAGAAACTGTAGCTGACTGTATCATTTTTACACGTTCCTGGCTTAAATTACATAAAATTTAACCCAACAGGTAACCCTTCTAGCTTGAACTCCTACTTTGAAAGTACGATCCCCTAACGTTAAGTATTTTCGACTGATTTCTACTCTACAGCGCACTTTATAATTAGCATCCCAATTACAGGAGTTTTATTACAAAATGAGTGACCACCCGCAGCGGTAGCAGGAATCGTAAGCCGCGATTCCTGCTAACCGTCGTTTTCTCGCAGATTCTGATTTACCAATTTTTGTGGTCGTTGACGTTCATGGCGTAGGTTCGATGTTGCTTGTTAGCTGCCTTTTCTGCGCAGAATTCAAAATAGCGCGCCAATAGTTTTTCTCTGCCAGTGGCGCTTTAGTCGTGAGCGCTCATCGTATCTTGCGCTCAGCTGACTGTTGAAAAACAACAAATTCGTTTTGCGTTCGGTGGTTCGGTAGTGATAGTGTGGTACCAGAAGTTCGTTCAGGGCTGGCTGTTCGAACAGTGCGCAGCAGCTACCCATACAGCGATAACAGAGAAAATACAAATGTGCAGTGGCATCGCCTTCAATATATTAAACAATCGACGGTGCGCTGAAAAAACTATGTAGCCATCCTCAAAGCGTCCCAAACAGGCTGTTTTTATGTGAATCAATTGTGCTTAATAGTGGAGAGGCAATTTGTCCACGTGAGACCAAAGTTAAAAGATAGAGTTCGAGACGTTCGTTTCTGATAATCTCTTAATGTACTTCAACGATGGAGGCCGGCGACATATCAAAAAAGCATTTAAGGTACACAAAAATGTTTTGTTCATTCGCGTGGTAGGTACGAGTAATCTGTGAAACGCGTTCCACGACTCGACTAATAAATAATACCGTAAAACGACGGAAGTAGTCTTTATCACTTTTGGCAATTAGTAGAGACTGCTGAAGTCGATTTTTATCCGTGGATTCAGTTTAGGGGTGTTGACTATTATTAAGTACAGCAGAAGAGTGCAAGAAAAATTTCATTATAGACAAAGTGTTTCAACATAATTTAGCCTTTAAGATAAAGGTTTTGTTACTTTACATTGATGAATGGTTAAATCGTTTCTAAAAAAAAAACGTGAGTCAGCAGCATACGTATATCTCATGATTATAAGAGTTACTATTGGCCTGCAATAACTCACGTATGAGTTGAATAGAAAAAAGGCATCGAACTACTTTGAGATTTAGAAATTCGAAGCTTACTAGGGTGTTATGACAAAGTTTCGTTTAAACTTTGGTCTTATTTCTTGTTTACCGTCTCAAAGGTTACTTACTATCGCAGACAAAGAAGCTCAAAATTTTTACACAACCTGGACTCTTAAACAAAACACGCTTAAAAAAGCATAAGCTAGGGCAGAAACCAAATCCATTCATGCATTTTTTTTTGCAGAAGAATTAAAGTGCTTTTTGCGCCAATCACAAATGGTTGGTTTAAGACTATGCTTGCTCTATTGAAAAAAATGCATCCAAATTGTTCATCAATGTTAAGTCCATGTAGAAATCTATACTATAAATTGCGCGCTTTTGGAAGGGTTCTGCCGTGTTTTTAAACATGTTATTCCATTAACGTCCGCGAGACAAAAGTTATTATCATTCAAGTATCTTACTTAAAATGCTTGAATAATCGAGTTGTCCAAGACACCATTTGCGTGTATTTAACACTCACTATAGAGTTTATATTGACCGCTGCGGGAACTACTAGGGTAAGCGTTTAGATTAATTTGGTATTTGATGAGTTGTCGGTGTTCTCATTATTTTATTGCTATGAACTGATGTAGGCTGGCTTATGGTATGAACTTTGCAATCATAGTAGGAACGATCTGTACAAAATGTGTATGCATTTAGGAAATGACTGCATTTAGAAAAAACTGATTTAGGAAACCAGTTTTTTGTATCAAGGACATGAACTACATTCTAAATTACTCATTTGGCTTTAAGTAAGAAGTTTGATATTTCGATAACAATAAGTTCAATAAACTAACAATAAGTTCAATAAACTGTAACGATGAAGTGAGCTGACATATATTTTTATTTTGTGGCTTTTCAATTTGTAGAGCCTTATGCGACGCGGTTCGACGGGCAGAAAGCTCTCAGGATGACATTCTTTTACGACAGCGCGTCAAGGAATACGCTGAGAAACTAATGTTCTCTTCGCCATTAGAATTTGGTCGTCAAGCCGAAGATATCCTTTGGAAAAAGGCATTTTATGAGCCTGTAGCCCGCTTTAAATCTAAGGTAATTTTATTAATAAAACAGTTAATCGACAAAAGTTCTTAGTTCGAAAAAGTAGGTCATATTTCTATGAACGGGGATGCTGGTACCTTTTTTTTAGTGCACTAAATTTTCACTTACTAATAGAAAGAACTTTTCGTATGTTACAATTTTAATGGAATTAAATTGTGCTTAGTTGAAAACTTAAGAGGGAGGCTTGTCGCGTAAAGTATCTCAATTCTCTCTTATCTAGGTTAATGCAGATAAAAGAAAATGCATATTTTGCACACTTGATAATATTACAGCGGGACCAGATGAGTCCACTACAACAGCGGTTAATCGAGCAGCTGCTCCTTTCTGGTCTTGGAACATATCAGCAAGTGCTTTCCAGATTGGAACTTGACTTCGGCGCCCCACTCATCGGGATCATTGACGCCGCTCTCAGGTTTGTTAGCTACTGCCGAATAAATATACCCATTTCATTAACTTTTGTTGATCAGAATGCTCACCCATGAAAAGTTTCACAGGCTGCTTTGTAATCATGTTTACACTGTGATCATTTGATTTAAAATTAACTTACGTCATCGACTGATGACGTATTTTCAAAAATACAAAATGTTAAATCTGCAGAAAACAGTATTTCGATAACAATAAATGGCTTATTATTTTAAATGATATATTTCGCAGTCGGGTTGGCTGGGATGTTACGATTGGGCGCAGAGTAAACGAATTTCCGGTGGAGCAACATAGTGAACTCCGCGAGTGGGCCCTTCAGTGTGCCTACCGATGTCTTCTTGCGCTTGGCGACCTCTGTAAGTATTTTTTATGCATTTTTCGCTACTACTATGGCCGCACAGTGTGAAAAGTGTATGTTGTGTAGGGAAAGAATTTCGTATAATAATCAATTTACTTGCTACATAACGTAATACACTAAAAATCTGCACAAACAGTTCAGCTCCCATTTTAACTGAAACTAAGTTTACGTCATTAGTTATTGTAATCAGGTTTACACATGTATAGTACCAAAGGTAACCAAAAAGATTTGTTTTTGCAAACGCCTTGAAAACATAAGTCGTGCTTGAAATTTAGTGTGATTAAATTAATAATGCTAGAACACGAGTTTTCATTATCTCCAAAATTCCTCTTAGCCCGTTACCTTCACGATTTATGCGGACAAGGAACAAGTGGTGTCTCTCCTCATCGATCGGCGGCATTCCGTTTTTATCATCAGGCCGTCCTGGTTCGCTCATCTCAGGTAAGTGGAGCGAACAGCTGTGCAGCAGATAATCTGCTGCACTAGTTCTTGCATCTGTCCAAATACAAATAATTTCTTAGGGCTTTCAACTGATGCGCACAGACCATGTGTTTAGTTTTGACCATAATGGTTAAGCATCGCCCTTGCGTTGTGAACTGTAAGGACTGCCACCAACTAAAAGAAGACATTCTAATGCCGTGGTTATTCTGCATGTTTGTTGCAGGGACAACCTTATAATCAGTTGGGGACACTGACTAAAGGGGAGCTCGCGGGCTTGAAGGAAACATACTTCTATTTTCGATGTTTGCTTAGCTCAGAACCATTTGCAGGCGCGAAGAATAATCTGAACTTGTTATTCGACAAAAATCGCACCGCTTTAGTCATGAAAGTGAGTAATTGAGTTACAAATTTTATGTCGAAGGTAAAGCAATTCGAGCAAAAGAATATGAATCTTAATATATGCAATAGAGTGAAACAGTCTTGGGTACTAAATTATAGGGAGGTATGCCAACTGGCGGTTGGGAAAACAGTATTCGCGCATTACTTTCGGTCTCGGAACTACTGTGGCAGGGGGAAGTCCCGAAGCCCACCATGACAGCGTTTGTTATAAGGTCCCTCCAATACGACCAGCCGCTTCGTCGTGATGCTCAGTTCTACGCATTGCTTCTACTGTTAGCGCTAGACCGGAAACTCACTAGAAATAACAGGACAAGAAACGAAAAGGAACTGGTAAGCTGTTAGGCTCTATCTGTGATGGAGAGGCATCACATCAGTGCTTAGTCGAATTTAAGTGTTTAATTATATTAAAATGTTTTTAGTTTGTCACAAAATCGTACTTGTATTTAACACGCTGTAGGCTCGAACATTCAAAAGCTTTATATAGCTTCATGGTTCACTGCTCCAAATACCAACGACGCATTAATTTTGAACTCACTACGATCAGTTATGATTCAGAAAAGTCACTTTTTTTACGTGAAATTTATGCTTTTTTAGTCGGCCTCATGGAAAGTTGTGCGCGATTTACTCTTTGCGTTGGGTGGCCGACTCATTCAGGAACTGCATCATTGCCTTTGCCTGCGTACCTGCTCGAAACATCCCTTCAATGAGATACGCGAAGTCAACCATTCCTTAGTCATCATGGACGGACAACAGAACAATTGCATTATTCCAGCGGGTCAGAAAAATGGATCTGTAAGTGCTGCTTGGCCTTTATCATAGACCTAAGTCAGTTTGTACAAACAATAACGAAACATTTATTATCGTACCCTTATGTAACTCTAATCATGTGTCACCTGATAATCAAACCCACCCTTTGCTTTTTTTCTGTAACCACATGTGACATGGTAGTCAGGTGATTCCGGCTCGGGGAGCTTTAAACGCCTTTCATCAAAGCCCAAAATTGTTCGTCGGAGGAGAGCATTCGGCGAGGGTGATTCGGAAGACGAAGATGATAATGGAGGACGAGGTGCTGGTGACGGCGGTCCATATGCAAATCGGACCGGTGAACCAGATTCCGACGATGATTTGCAAAGCCAAGTGCAAGAAACAGAACAGCTTAAGCTTAACGGCGGCTCAACGAAGCAAATGAATGGTCAAACAAAGGACAAGGCACCGGATGATGGAGGTGACGATGAATCATCGAGTCAACAAATCTAACCCTGTGAATTTAAATACGTACTGTGCATAACCAGTAAAATAACATTATTGTACTTATTTTCAGGTGAAAGTTCTGATGATTCGATGTCTACTGGTTGGTCGAGTAGTTCGGATGAGGATGACGAATCTGAGGACGAAACGAGTGACGACACGTTTGATCCACACACTAACGACGAGTTTGATAGGAGAGCATCCCAAAGATCTGATTCTGGGGGTAGAGATAAAGCAAATGGAGGAAAGCTGCCTTCGCCGCGTCTGTCGCCGTTGTATACGCTAGATAAGGCGCTCAGCTGCAGACAGCTCGTCAAACAGGTTAGCACTGGCCGATTCAGAATTCAGTGGTAGTAACGTATGTGGGACTGTTATTTAATATAATAATAATTAAAAAAAAATATGTCAAGCTGTTCAGTGTGCTAACGTTTAATTAATAATTTGCCTTGTTATTTCGTTATGTAAGGCGTTAGTCCCCATCAAACATGTGCAATATTCGTAGGGTTGATCCAAAAAAGCTTGTTGCTACGAGTTCTTACTTGAAATCAATTGGCCTGTCCGCAGGTGGCCTCGGAAGAACTTCTACCCGCAGCAAAGCTCTTCTTGGATTGGTTGGTGCTCTTGTCAAATGACGCTCGGAAAGGCAAGAATAGTGAAGATGATCAGGGCAAGAAGGAAGGACAAACTCCCTCTGGGCTTCCGTTACGTGTTCTTAAATACGTAGCTGACCTAGCTAATTTATTGTGCGTGCTTAAACATAGAGTAATGCATGGATCAGGTTAGTTGTCATTTTCTAGAGTAAAATATGTAATAGTCTGCTTCGTTTTTAATAGTAGAAATAATACTTAATAAATATTGTGCTACATGTTCAAGTAGTCGTATCATGCTGATAACATTAGCTTGTTGATCCTATGACCTGCAGACAGTACCATCGAGCATGTCCGGAATAGACTCAACGAACTATCCGCCCAAAACGCTGTAAGAAAATCAGACGGTAGCAACGAGACGACACTCACAACCGATACAAAGGATTCATATAGAAAGGAGTTTATTCTTCCAGAGGATATTCATTTCTCGCTAAAGGCTTCCCCAGCTTTAAGGACATCAGCAATCTGCAAAAAGTCAGAAGAAAATGCTGAACTGATCCAGGTTGAGTATGATTGGATACTCAGCTGGGAGGAACGATCAAGTCTTGCAACTGCGGGCCAACGAGCCGTCTACGCTTACCCACAAGTTGCCTTTTTTAGGACATGTAAAGCTTCGATCAGGAGAATAAGTGGGTAGAAACCAAAATTGAATATTCCTTTGCTCAACCCAGAAAATGATGGATACATGGCAATAAGGTCTGGCGTTGCTATCAAGTAACCAAATTGCCTGCATTTGATTGCCGTACCAATATGAAGCCTCTTAAGAAATTCGACACAATGGGTTGTATTCATTTTTCCACAAATATCCTGTGGTACACACCACACGCATCTCAAAATGGTCTGGAGCTAATTTAGGGATACCCAATGTTTTTAGTTTCCGTATATTCAGTATTTAGATTATAATTCTGTTACACGTTATACGAGAAATACCAGTTTTGGCCAGTCGAGTCCTTAGATTTTACGCTATGCCATCGTAAAAAACCTCTTAAATTGCGGCACTGTGTTCTTACTTTTTGGATCCCGATATCTAACTGCCCACTCGCTGGTTTTCAGCACTTAATTTTTCGTTTTTGAAGTTTGCACCACCCATGTACTATGCTTTTGCTTAAAACATCCTTTCCTAATTTCTGATGGATTTTCGTATCCAAAAGAACGGGAGCTTGAGCACCAAACGTCTACTTCTCTATGTTAAAAAATATAAAGGAAATTTTACTGCCAATACTGAAAACGTATTTCCGCTGAATTAAATTCAACCGGTTTTCATTCCTATGTTTCTAGGGGCTAAGGTATTTACCAACTGAATATAATTTGCTAACGCCGCGTACTTCCAAAGTTATTTAACTAATAGTTATAATGTTATTACACATGTTAGACTTTTTAATTAGACGAACTGTAGGCGCTTTAATCTTAATTAAGAATCTTTAATAAATCACCTTGTTAATACTGCATAACGGGACGATCAGAGTTGAACACGATGTAATACTTTATACCCGACAAAGAGACCTCTGTTTAATTTAAGTAAAAAGACTGCAAATTTAGAGGTAGACTATTTGAAAAGCATTTGATGATATTGTTGCCTTCACTATAGAAATCCATGTTTAAGAGTTATATAAACGTCGACGCTATCAAGAAAGAGGTAACTTACTTGCGCATCTTTCCATGGTGCTCGCAATATGGACTGCATTTATGGTATCGATTAATCTCTTCCGGCTTGGAGGATTTTGCAATTACTGGTTTAAGTCTTAATGAGATGTGAGGCGTCTCCAGCAGCGGTTTTTTTCTATCCCGAGCCATACTCAATTGCCTGAAAGAGTAACATCTCTAAGTACGGGGAGCCGCATAACTTTCCTGCACTCTCACATAATGGAATAGTCAGAAAAATATATGTTAGCGTGTTGTGACGAGTATGGAATGATAAACGGTTTACAAACTCGCCTATAAAAAGAGGGTTACCTATTGGTTACAACACACTTATGGGTTCGAATAGAGGTTTTAAGTAAAACTTTTGTTTGCATGTTAACTCGTTGGCACTTTATGAGTATTCTCTTAGTTTAGGCAATAATATGAACTATTTTAAAATCACTTGAACCGTAGGAAGAAAACCCTTCAATAGGCCAATTTCAGATAGTACTATGCTCTGCCCATAGACAACGGGCCTCTTAGAGTGCTATAATATTAAGCCTCACGTAAAACCAGATATTTAATGTACTCACCAACTTAATTGCCTCGAAATTATTCTGGCCAGAGATTTAATGTTTCAACATGATGTAGACCACCATCACGACAGAGTAGCACGAATGAGACAGGTTCAAATTTTTTTTATGTTGCGACAAGCATAGTCCCGTATACGACAATGAATAAGCTTCTAACGTGCCTCAGGTAAGCACACACATAATACAGAACGTCGTACGTATGATACGTACTACGCCACATTATTACTATCCATATGTGTAGCTCGCGAGCTGGCTAGCATGTGTGCCCCATCGTCACAAATAGTACTACGTATAAGTAGAATAGGGTGTTTACATTTAAAAAAAAGGTCAAAAGCTCCTATTTTAGCACAAGATCGCCTTCTGTCGACGCTAGCAGATGCTCTGTTCTTGGGTGAACAGACTGAAAAACAGGTCAGCTTATCTAAAGTGCAAGCACATCAAACACTTCTGAAAAATGCAAGCTAAAAATAGAAGCAAAAACAAACTACAACTGATTATAATGTTCCCTGCTATCGACGACATCAGACAAGCATTTATCGATCTAATCACCACATTGTCAGTAAAATAGAAGGTAAGGATTGACTAACATTGATTTGCACCTGGCTACATTATAATTTGCAGTGCTTGGGACACCATGTAGCTGAAAAGATCACGCAGAGATTGGCAATGACGTTACCTTTCATTACTACAATTCTTTATCCCTCAAAGATGACAATTCTGTTGATCAGTTTGCCAAATATAGTTTTAATGGACAATTTTTTTTACTAGAGCTATATATATATATATATATATATATATATATATATAGTACAATTATTTGAAAGAATGAAACTCGGCTTGTATCAGGAAGTACATTTTAACTGTATGTGTTACGACAGAGAAATGCTAGCTTTCTGTTATTCAATCACTTATTTCGGCTATTCAATAAACGCCAGTTTTTTTTTCTTTAACTATCTGGTCTACTGTTAGACGGATAATAGAGCGGTAGTTACTAAACACCTAAAATATTTTCGAAACACCTGGCATAACGACTCCGACACGCTTTTGCATTTATAGTGCTAACGAGAATAGGCCTTTTTTTTGAGATTGGCTCTTGTGAGGTTAGTAAGCCCTAGCTTCTGGTTCTCCGCGCAAGTTATAATTCCATATTTCGTAAGTGAAACTGTACATTCAGCGCTAAAGTTGAACTGCTTCCATTTTCACACGAAAGAGATTTAGGCCTTTCTGGATACTGGACTAATAAATAAATAAATCAGAAGCTTTTAAGTAGAAAAAAAAAAGTCTTTATTTTGTACATCTTTGGATATTGTCTATACAGTATCGACAGGACGCTAAACTATTTCCAGTCGTCTGAAAGAATAATACAATTGACATGACCGAAGCCCTTTCATTGAGCAATCGCATGTTTCGCATTAAATATGGAAAATGCTTCAGGGAATAGAAGCATCTAGGAAAGGTACACTGAAATATTTTTTTAAATTTTGTCCTAAGGAGCTGTCTTTCTTGCAATAAAGTCAGGACCATATAATACATTGTTGGGTGTTACGATATGTTGTCACACGCACAGGATTTAAATTCATTATGAAGCATAGCTACAATAAACTGTGTGACGGAAAGGCACATTTCTTTATTAGTTCACGAGTTCCACGATATTCAAATAATAACAGCCAAAATTCTGTGCTTATTGAACTGTACGATAAAGCTCCATTTGTTCCATTATGCCGTCTTGGAAGGCGTCAACGTCAATATCTTTGCCTCCGATGAATGGAACCGTTGGCTAGACTTTCATTGCCGTCTGCGGTAGGTCACGGTGGCCAGGAGATCCATCTCGTTATTTAACTGAAGAAAAAATTCGACTTTACGTAATTTCTTGATTATAATAATGCTTCAAATTGTTAGTTTAAAGGTAAGCCAGCAACGTTTTTTTTTGGTTTTTTTTTGTAGCATAGATTTATCTGGCCGAAACAAGGCATAATTTTTTGCTACACTAATACATATCAGTTTCTAACCTATATCATACCTCGTCTGGCGTGATACTGGCCGAAGAATTCGGAACGAGCATGTAAGATCTGACGTTACCGTCATCATAGCAGCGGCGTTATCGAATTCATTACAATAATTCGGTGCCGAGAATATCGTGACGAGCTGTCGATCCGCAAAAAATTCGTAGCCTTCAGCTACAACCTAGAAGGTGGATAGTAAATTCACAGAAAGCGTCTATAATTGAGCTTTAGATTAAAGCTGATCATTTGTAGAAATAGAAGGTATGCTTCACTCTAGTTAACTATTTGCTAAGCGTACAATCATTGACAGCCAACTATATACCTGATGTGCCCTGGCGACTAAATCGAGGCCCATTTGTTGAAGAAAACCGGCCAGTGCATCCGCTCCAAATAGGTAAGATACCCCACGATCACTCTGAACCCAACCACTGCCCGGGGAAGGATCCGCCCAAAGCAAATCACATGCGATGCCGTGATCCGGGACGTCGAGCATAGGCCGTGGTAATGAGCGAATGTCATCCCACGTCTGGATATCAGGAGATGGCCCACCATGACAGCAGAATATTTTATCAGCAACCAGACCTTCGCGAGCACTCGCAACACATTATACGGTTGATTATTGTAGGTCTGTAGATATATATATATATATATATATATTATATATTATATATATATATATATATATATGCATAAATAGATAATTTAGTCTTGTTCTAGTCAATGGTAAGCATACCGGCAAGCGGGAACCATGCGAATAGATCGTTAAACTTGTTGTAGAGCTCGAGATTGTACCGATGTCTACACTCCGTAAGAAATCCATACATTGAATTAATCCGGACAGATTCGTGGTTACCGCGTAGCATGAAGACGTTTCCGGGATATTTTATTTTATAGATCAATAGAAGGCATAACACCTCAATAGAATTGCGACCTCGGTCGACGTAGTCACCCAAAAATAGATAGTTAGCCATAGGAGGGTGTTTTCCTATAATAAAAACATGTATATAACAACTTAGCTTAAAGGTTTCCTTACATCTTAGTTTATACATGTAGTTATTTCGATCCTTTATATGTTACATAAGGACATAATTCTTCCAATACTGATTTAGAGCTGAAAAAAATAATGCTTTTCTGCAAGACTTCGATGCTGGTGGTCGTCTGATTGGCTAACTTACCGTGGTTTAAAATACGAAGAAGATCGTGAAATTGGCCGTGCGTGTCTCCACAAATGTGTAGAGGCGGATCGAGCTCGATAAGCATAGGCTGAGAAGAAATGATCTCTTGAGCCTTATCAATGACATATTGTACTTCTTCCATTTTAAGGTCGACGTAAAGAGCTTTTGTTTTCCGCACCTTCAAAAGCCGTTCAAGGACGTTATCTAGGTTTACGTTGTACATGGTGTCAGGTCCGTCGTTCTCTATGGGTGCCGTTTTGAAGCCAGTGTATAATCCTAGCCGCGGAAAAAATATTTTGCAGGATATGCTCCGGATCTGCTGCTCTGCTCGAAGTCACAGATCACCTATATTTAAGTGCATGAAGAATCCGGCCTTATCGCCGCGGGTAACATCTATAACACTCTCAACCGCGTATTGCTTTATGATGACATGCTTGTAGGCAAGAATAGAAATGATTGTAGAATAAAGCGAAACGATTTCATCTGTAGGTAGAGCTCATTCGTGGTTGTGTAATGCACGGACGGAATAGAATAGGGAAATTGAAAGATGCCATTTGTTTAGTTATGTGAAAGGAAATTTTGCCGAAGTCGCGAAATGATCAGTAAATTAAATTTTTGAAACAGAATAACTAGGTCACAAAACAGAAACCGAATAGTTAGTTGCAACGAATCGAAATGGTTCCCACCGCCTTTTTCAGGGCTGACCTACTTCAAGGACAATAGTTGACCCCGTTTCCATAAACGCAGTACAGTTGTCAAATGCAATTACTTCATACAAAAACATACATTCGGTATTAAACATTTATGTTCATACCAAGGAAAGCTGTGTTGAAGCGGCGATCTTCGGCGCCACGTTTGCCGACTGATCAAAACGCAAATTCACTGGAAAAAAACAAATGTCAGCACATAAAAATCCTTCTGGACATAAATGACTGCCCGATCGAGTCAGACCTGATTCAAAACTGTCTCAAGCGCAAATTTGGATTCGTTAGTCCCGCACAGTGACGACGACTCTGGCCGTTTTCTTGGCGGGACGTTAGCTAATATCACTGGACGGGGTTCAAGGTGGACGCGGTGATTTACATTCATACGTACGATGTAGTAATCAACGCCGCGACTGACTATGGTTAAATATGAAAACATGTAATAATTAAGCTGCGTTGAATCGAAGCACAATGAAACACTGTCGCATCCTTTGCTGGTCAGTACACCTTTTGACAAAAATATTATATAAAATTCCAAGGATCGCTTTAATCACTTCAAAGTCGTCAAGTGTAGACTGCACTGATAGAGCACTTCGGATATCGGCGAGCGTCATCAGGCAACGAACTTCCATTGTTTGCCAGCATTTAGGCAAACTGTGACCCACCTGCTGTTTGGCCTGTTCGCTAGGACTTCGTCAACAACCTCTAAAATCAACGGCGGGTATTTCCACCGTGCAAACTGCGGTCGCAGCAGGATCGAGGACTTCGTTTCCATTAGCAAACAATGCGCGTGAAATTATCAAGTATGTCCCAAATGGATAAATTCTTCAGTCTTCTAACTGTTTTGTGAAGTTGCCCCTCGTTGTTACACTTGTATCTGGTATTTGTTGCGATGGGCGCGGCCAGCCTGTCTCACATAGTAGACACGTTTCGTAGGTTCGCGCCTATGCTGACCTAGATTGACAGTTCAACATCATACTATCCGGCTTATAGTGTTGGGTGTTCTATCGTCTCCTATGATTTCATGCGAAGCAGTCACTAATTAACTGAAAAAAGAGCGTCCATCCAATAAAATCCGTTTAGAAGCGCATCCTATCCAGCCCAAGTCGTTATGATTGTGCGCGACTGACGAATACTACTTATGCTTGAGACGGTCTTCAATAATACTTGTTAAGCACAATTAGATGGAGAAGCTTTTTCTACACCCTGCCCTGCCCTGCCCTGAACGTCTATTACGCTTCTTCACTTTCTTCTTTAATATAACGTAAGCCCCGTCGGAACAAGCCTGTACAAAACAATCAATAAACAGAGCTAGAAGCACTGCGGGGGGTCCGGCAAAGCTTGCTAAACGCCGGAATATGTTTCTCATAATTAGCCATTTTCATGGTGGCGTGGATTAGCTATGGTACAGTATGAAATTCTGACTATCGCCTAGACCGTAGCCTTTTCTTTACTTACTTAAAAATCACTATGATTTCTCATAACCTAGTAATAAATATAAAAGAATTCGTTTTAACATTGGGTAAATGCGCACTAGGTATGTAGATCAAGTTATATTCATGGCCGCGTACGATCCGATACAATACAGTATGCGAGCACGTCTTGAAATCACTGATCGGCTACGATTAGCAACTGTGTACCAATGTCTCATTTTTTTTTTCACCACAATTCCAAGTTCCGTATGATAATCTTCAATGAATCAGCTTCTAGCTTAACTGCCATGAGGTTACTTTATCTCATATTCAAATGGTTCTGTTGAATAGACTGTATGTAGTCCGTTTTCGAAAGCTCTACTATACACTGCGGACCTGAACTGTCAAAATGGCCGCCAGACCCGATCTTACTGTTGCACCATTTTGAGGGCGGATCGTATTTGATCAGAGGAGCCCAGATAACACTCGTTGATTATTACGTACTACTTCGCATCTACATTCGAATGGCGTGAGTATCATTATATTCCCTACCGGTATTAACACACACAATTAAAGCAAACATTTTTTTTTTAAATTTCTCATTTAGCATAATGTCTGTCGATCGCGTGGCCTGGAGTTGCGACGCCTTCCAACTTCGCCGACGAACCTGTTGGCTATTAAAAAAAGCGAACTAGCAATATATTCGAAATCCACATATTGCATTTTTGGGCCGTCGGTATTGAGAGGTTGCAGCCTTTACAGAAGAGCAGTATTGTACCTGGGGGGGGTGATAATTGAGGCACAGGAAGGCTCGTATGACGCACAACGCGGTTAACGATCGAACAATTTCAAAGAACTTTAGAAAACCAGCAGCATTGTGGCTTACAGCTGAAGAATTATTATTTCTCCTTACAATTAGTTAAATTCATAAGTTTTACCGGAATATTACGCAGAAAAGAAATTAGTAGATTATATAGTTTCCGAAAAAAAAAATTCCGATACAACTATATGGGAGTCTCTCTCCTTATTCCGAGTAGAAAGGTAGGTAGACGACCAGTGAGTCTTGTTGTTTGTCTTCCACTTTTTCTGTAGGTGAACAAGGACAAATTCGCTTCATGTATAACAAGAATCCTAACAAAATATCTGACTAATTGTCAGGACGTTTTCCTACCTGTCGAACTGTAACTTGAAATATGAAAAACCTTAGATACGTCTTCACTTCTTCTAGAAGCTCTGTAGACAAACGTCAGTAAAATTATGTGTTTTTTAGTGTTTCCTGTTTGCTTTAGAGATAGCACAACAGACGGCCTTCAAGGTTTATCATATTACGCACTATACATAAAGGACGCTTCTATGACATAACCAACGGCTTCGACATATGGGAACCACTAGGCCACGTAGGTAAAGAGGGCGGCGCTCATCACCGAAACTATGACCTGGGGCTTTTACAGCGAGCCTTATTTCCGTTTCATGGGAAAGCGTGCTGGTGTTCCAGCGAATGAACCGCGATTCGCCGATCGAGACCTAGGACAACGATAGCCTTATTATACACGGTCAGTATCATTAAGTGGCAAATAGCAATGAACCTGGATCAGTCCTACTTCCATAATAAAGTCCATTAAGCTGTTGGGTACTTTGATTCTCTGCTCAGTGAAGGTCCGGCGTTCGATCTGATTGTAGGTTATAGTTTACCGGCATATAGTTTTTTTGACAGTGTTAAATTATTGGTAGAATGTGTGTTATGTAAGCGATCTCCGCGTACAACATACCCAATTGCAACGACCTCGCAATGTTATGAAAGCCGGAGTTCTAGACGGAGACAAGGTGTATCGCTACACGTTTAGCTTCTTCTTGGTGAAGTAAAATATTAGGATAGATGTAGATTTAGATTTCTATGAAATATCACTATATGTGAAACTTTAATTATCTTTAGCGCTGGCATTGTGGGTCATTTAAAGTACTTAAAATAAGTTCATTTGCGCTATGCGTTTCTATGAAAAGAAAATATTTTCAATTAGTCTGACACGTAGTTAAAGCGACACTAATCGTAAACAACTGATACGCTTCGTCGCATGACTGTAGTTTTGTAGACATCTTTAAACATCAATGTAACATTTTTAATGAGTCTCAGTAGTTTGGACATGCCGATCGCTCTGAGCCCTAAAAGTTCATAAGTGTAAGATGGAGCCATATGACTTGCTTACAAACCCAATTTTTCCATTGCTGTTCATCTGTTGATGTAGTTTGTTTGCAGTTTTATCTGGACAGCTCAATTGAGGCTCAAAGTGGCATGTCTTCGCGGGTCCTGCGAAGTGCTATGCTTGGGTGATTGAATATTGGACGACTCACTAGTCAGCAATAATTGAGATAATTTAACCATGGAACGAAAGTCATTCCGTGTCAAGCATCGTAGTATACTATCTAGTATTGAGAGCACATCGGATACGAATTAAGTAGTGGAAATTTTAAAGTTACATCAAATTCTTACCAACAAGACGGCTTTACAAGACACGTAAAGCACTATTATTACGACTAAGCAGCCTGGCACAAGAGTGGAATTATTACAAGAACTTTAAATTTAAAAAACCTTAAATAAATAATTTAAAAAACTAATCGTAAGAAATTTTTGAAAGCAAATACAAAGACCTACCATTGAAAGCTATTCCATATTTTACCGAATCCTAATACATAGTTCTCTTTTTTTTTTTTTTATTAATAAAATATGACTCCCTTCCACAATGGAATATCAAACTTTTTGGGCCTGAGAAACTCTGTTGGCGTACTTCTATATACGCAAGACAGCCCTGCCCACACCAACATAAAGTAAATAAGCTGCTTACAGCTTAGTTGAATTACTTAAAACATTGAGACTATTTAATTTTGAAAATGTTCAATCGATCTTAGTTCATAAATATAAAGGTAAACTACAGTTTTATTGTTATTGATTTTTTAGGATGCCTCCTATAAACGAAACTAATAATAAAGAAAGCCCAGTGATGCAACCTGCTGCACCCCCGGCAGATCGTAGGGACAGACCCAATTGTCGAGACCAGACAGTATGCTTTGAAGATGAGCCAGAAAAATTGCTTATCCAACGTGAGTGCAACTACTTTTTTATGCCATCCTAAACGAACCAATACGAAATATATACGACGCGGCGATATTTCATTTGTTTCTAACGCTAAATAGGCAACTCGTCACTAAAAGCATAGTGACGATGATTTAGTTGTTAAACAAGATACAAACTTACGTTCGACACCTTTATCCGACCATTTTCCGTACATCAGTTCAAGAGAGAATGAATTGGCACACAAAATGGCCGATAGTAATAATAAGGGTGGCAAGAGGCAAGGGATCCACAGCAACCACAGCAGTCTTTCGGACCTCCGCGAGTGGCCGGCCTGTAAGGCCGCCAATTTCCACTTTCCAATTAAGGCCGCGTTGACAGAAGATAGCTAGTGGAAGTATATTGTCAATAATGAAAACTACATGCAGGTAGTCACTGCATCAATCTGCACGTGAGTTCAGATTCCTGTCATAATCTCTAAATTGCCATAGCGCGATAAAAGGTATGATGTCATGCCATTGTTTTAAGCAATAGATCTTTTTTCGATTTCACTATAAGTATTTGGATAATTCTTATTGGCAGTAAAAGAAACCTTCACAAATACGATTTGATCTCAGTAATTTAAGATTTATATTTGATGTTGGATTGATGCGTGTCTGCTTGTGTTAGTTCGTTTGGCTTTAGCAAAGTCTACGAAAAACAGGAAAAGTCTTAGCATTGCTTTTGATGTAGAACATGAACAAATTATATCATTGTACGTGTGGTAAGTCTGTGTCGTTACGTCGAAAAATATTTCTCGATCGACGAAAGATAAAAAATGACGATTTACAATTTTTAGGACTGGTCGGAAAATTGCCTGTTATCTACGATTTTCCAATATGTAAGTACTTAATCAATTCAGAATACTTGGGTAATGTCGTCTGCTATCACAAAAGTAAATATTCGCGTTGTCATTTTCACCTCATTGTGTATACCGTGCCCTGGAAATATATATTTGCCTATAACAAACGCCGCTTCTACAATTAAAACTCGGATACTTCTTACTCTGAAGAAGTTTGCTTGCTTATACTTGCAATGTATGGCACTCCTTACATAACAGTAGTATGCAATATAATGAAAACCGACAATAGCAATGAACACGAAGAATTTCTACAAAAAATCTCGGCCAACAGATG